AATATGCAGAATGTATATATCATAGGCTCTCAAGACATTAAGGATAAATAGGATTAATCCGCTAGCAAGAACCTACGTTTTTATGAAAATAAGGGCTAGTTAATAGACAAATATTAAAAATTACAAAATACTTGTTTTGTGATAGTAGTAAAGTATAGGATAGACTGTAAAAAGAAATCATACGTGCCGAGCGACCTTTAAAAGCTTGAGTTAAATGTAGGCAGAGGTAAACTGTAAGGTGAAATATATAAAACCTGTTGACCTCAAATTAATTTGAATAACATTTCAACAATAAATATATATATTTTTTTTTCAAGATAAAAGTAATGTCATCAAATTGTCATCTCTGCAAATGCTTTATTTTCTATGCCTCTTGTGTTGATCTCTAGAGTTTTGTGGCCGTGACTTTTTAAGAGGAGATGACTTTTTGTCTTTCTTGGACTTCTTATGAGAGTGCATATTTGAAGGGCTGGGGGAGCGTTGCCTTTTTTTTGATTTTTGTGTTCCATGAGTGCCATGTGTGCCATGTGTGCCATGTGTTCCATGTGTGCCATCCAGATCTTCCAAATCCTTTTTTGCATCATCTAAAAATAAGGAAGAGATTAGAGGATGGAGCCATTGAAACTTAGATGATAAAATAAATACATGAATCAATGGAATAGATATTATTAGATAAAATCAAAAACAAGATTTTTCAAACTAGTAGAAGCAATGAAAATAATTTACAGTCAGAAAAAATCGTTTTTCACCTAGGGCAATATTCAGTGTGACTTGACCATTCAGTTCGAAAGGAAGGAATTAGTTAATTTATTTGACCGGAAACGGGAGGATAGACTGAGTTAAGACTATTGGAAGTCCTTTGTTCACCCCCTGCGATACGAATAAACCCGTGCCGAGATTTTGTCTGTCTATGACAAACATTGTCAGAGCGAAAAACCTTACTCTAAGAAAAAGCGTAGCAATGCTTTAAGCCAAAATAAAAGGCGAGACTGCAAACCTAATTTTACGATCCATTTCTTACGAATATTAATTATTAATTATTAACTGCAAAGGATGAAGTTAATAAATGAAAATGAAGTGGACGATGACGCAGGTGTAGCCTTACATTATAAACTCGCATACGATCCTAATATTGGCATGTTTAGGCAAACGGTACTGTATTGTATTTAAGTTATTCACTGACGATGTCGGCAAAACGTCTGGTAATGTACCAAGTCCACGCTCCGACTTTAGAAATGATCATGCATACAATGGACTCCGGACTAGGTGCGTTCCTCTAAGTCTTCTTACCAATATCACCAAGTTGCGAAAACAAGGTCAAACAACCTCAATAACATTTAGGGTTTGGCATACAAGAGGCGGAGGCATAAAAAGTAATAGACTTAGCATTATGGATCGAAGCATGAAAATGAGGCGGAGTGAGGGGGATAAGGAAACTAGAGGTAAGTGTAAATAGGTCACATTAAATACGCCTAAAAGTGGTCAGAGGTAAATACGATATTGTGGTAGTGAAGGAGGATATGGCATAGATGAAAGCAACGGGACAAATAGTTTAAGGATCGACTTAACTTGTCTCTTTGACGAATTGTGGTGTAATACTAAAGATGATGAGACTCACCGATGATTCCGGCGAAACGTCTAGGAATTAAGTCTACGGTCCAACGCTGAGAATTATCATGGATACCATTGACGCCCTGACAATGCGGCCAAGTTGCGCAAACCAGGTAAATCTTTTATGACTTAGTAATTAGTAATCATTAAATTTTTTTCCATAAAATTATACATTGAATTCAGGTTATATCATATGGAGGGTGTATTTTGTACACCCATTACGAAATACCATAGATCCAATGTAACTTACCACGCCTGGCTAGCTCCTCCAACTCATCCCAATCCTTGCCAGCTGATTCATCAGAGTCCAAACTGTCGTCCCCATCACCGCCGCTCTCTTCTTCAGCTTCCCAATCTTCCGATTCATCATCGTCTTCATCTGAATCCTCATCAGAGCCTTCTGAACCGTCACCATCGCCTTCAAACTCAGATTCAGAAGGTGCATAATTCTCATCCTCATTTTCACTATCTCCTTCCTCCTCAGAATCGTCCTCCTAAATGTGTGAATAAGACCAAAAGCGGATAGATTAGAAATCGAGATTAAAATAAATTTGAAGCAGCAACTTGGCAAGAATAACTTAGAGTAATTATCGATGTTACTCAGATAGACTCTACCTTGTTAAGGATGTATTGATAAATTAATAAGCATCCTACAAAATCATATTAGGGCTTCGTGGCATAAATCAATTCACCTAAAATTCTAAGTTGGTTAATGTTAGCTGAATGCTGGAAATGCAGGAAAAATTCAAACCATGGGTAATTAAATCTAGACTGGTACGAACGTGATAAAAGAAGTTAGGAACTATGAACAGAATAAATATGATCGTCCAAAGTATATGCAATACATGGGGAGAAAAGTAAAACGATAGACTGACAATTATACATATATATATATATGACTTAACAATAATGGAAGAAAATATTGGAGTATAGACAACTAGCGTCGTCAAAAAATAAACATAGATAACACGGAAAACATGGAAATTGGCGCCGTAAGCCATACTGAAATTAGGAAGAAAATGAGACTTACATCATCAGGCGAGATAAAAGCCCAACCGTCCTGTTC